ACTACATTTCATTACCACAGAGATTAATGACATCATCAACATGTTAACGACCTCACACGCGACACGAGGCAGCTCGAGCATCAGGTCTGACTCTGCAGGTCTGAAGCTGATCACTTCTTCACCCTCCTCCTCCTCCTCCTCCTCCTCTTCAGCATCTGTGCTGTCGTCTTAACTGTGGAACCACGTTTCAAGAAATTCCCTCCAGGCGTTCTTGAGATATCGTGTTCCCGAGAAGCTCTGTAGTTCATTTAAACAATGTTTTTCCCAATTAAATAGTTTAATCACTTCCCACATTATCCTGATTTGTTGCTACACAGCAGCGACACAAGTATCTGTGCGTTTATGTCGACTTGTTTTATTTCAATACTCGTGTCAGAGCTGAGCTGAAAATAACTCTCGGCTCGCAGCGACGTCCGGAGAGAAAACCAACGTTGATTTGACCAGACGGCGTTTTGACGGCACGGAGGCTAAAATCAATCTCACTTACGATGGCTTTGCACCAGAGGCAGCGCCAGTCCTGCAGCCGCCGCACGCTGCCGCAGTTCTTGTCACACACCACGCACTTAGCACTGACGGGCAGGTTTCCCTCCAGCCACTGGTGAGGCATGGACACCTGGTGAAAATAAAGAACAGGGATAAATACTGAGGACGTGAGACAACAGCTGATTCAACTTCATATATAAAGTAATTTAAACAAGTCGTCTTTTTTGACGCTCAAACATGAATGAATGAGACGGAAGCATCAAATAATATTAATGACAGAAACCATCTTTAAGAAAGATTTTATCTAATGTCCAATCTGATTTGTCCGGTTTGGTCCACGTCCCATCCACTCACCCCGTCCTCGTCCTCAATGATGTCATTTCCTATGGAGGCCAGCGTCGTCCACTTGCAGTTGTTGGTGGAGCGGACCGCGCAGCGCTTATGAGCCTTGAACTTACAAACTGCAGAGGACAGACAAACACGTTGATCATACGAAGAGACGGTGCTTTATCATTCAGAGCGTCTCGTCCGAGGGCTTTTATTTATTCATTTATTTATTATCAGAGAGAGACGAGACATCATCGTCGAAAAATTAAAATTAAAATTGTCTTATGTTCTTAAACTGAGCTCTTCATATTTGTTTTTTCTTTCTTTTGGATAAATCAAGGAATCAAGTCAAAGAATTTGACAAATCAAGATAAAATAAAAGTTCAGTTACGTGAGCGGACAACTGACCTGAAAACGCTGCATGTGTGAAATATTTACTGCTTACATGAGAGTTCAAAGTATCGTGTGTCAGGACCTCTCCCTGAAACTAGGAGCCATAACCGTTCTTCTACCGTCGCAGGCTGATCGTATACTTCCTCTTTGTGTGTTTGTGTTAATGTACCTTCACAGGACAGGCCGTGGGAGGTGACGCCTGGCAGCGCCTCTCTGCACACGTTGCAGAAGGTCGGTCTGGCGTGCGAGCAGGCGTACCAGTTGTGCATCCCGGAGAAATGCTCCATGTTGAACTGGCTGGCCTGAGGAGGGAGAAAACCACGACGTCAGAAACTCCTTGTTCGAGCGTCTGGGGTTCGGAGGTGGAGGACAAGAATCACGAGAGCGTTACATCAAAAAATTAAAAAAAATATAGAGGAACGTGGGGATATCGCAGGACGGGGCGGCAACCTTTTTTATTTCAAGCTGTACGAAACAGCCAGAGGAAACATGGATGCAGGGATGAGATCAGCAGCACATATTAAACTCTGTGGCCTCAGGAGAGAGACGCCGCTTAAGACTAAGAAATCATTGCCGCCGCTGAGCAGCCGAGGGATAAAAGCAACCGACGCACGAGTTGTAGATGCTCCCCATCGTCTGAACTGCAGCTGAATCCTACGACTTGGAAATAACTAGAGATAAGACAACGACATAAATCCAGACTCTAAATGTGCTGTTAGAACCTGTGAGGGACATTAGAGTCGAAGCTCAGCTCGGATCGTGGCATCCAGGCTTCATCCCGACTTTTATGGCCTGCTGTTGATGCAGAGGCTGCGATTTTACGAGACGCAGATACAAGGGAAAAACAGAGAGAACGAAGGAATGCAGAGGTGAGAGAGAAAGATGGGAGAAGGCGTGAAGGATGTTCTCTTAAAAAATAAACTACATGCTCCTGATGAGCTTTTTGTCAATTTGTCCCTTTGGCCCATTTCTTACTTTATTCGGGAAACAAAAAGAGACTCAAACTCACCTCGTAGGTTTCCCATTTTTGGACGGATTTGAGCGCCCCGATCCAGTCCTCCATTTCCTTCCTGCTCTCGGCGCAAAGCATCAGTTTGCGAAATGGAGTGATCACCTGAGAAAAACCCAGAAAGATGAAAATCCAAGCGCAGGAGCAACAAAGGAGGAATTAATCTGAGCTACAACAGCAGCTGATCACCACGTGAAATCCTATTATCTCAAGTTTCTTATTAAAATAATTTAACTTTGACTTTTTTAAAATCTGATCCATGTCCCATCTACTAACATGGAGAAGGCAGGGTTTAAGAGCTGGTGCGAGCCACCAGGGGGCAGTTAACATAAATTGGCTTCACTTTTTGGTAGCTGTCCTGTTTTAGATAAAAAGTTTTATGGTTTTGAAATAGTTTAAATTCCCATTATTTACCGTGAAGCTGTTGTTGATGTTCTTGGTGCTGGTCTCGGCCACACTTGCATCCGACAGATCCACTTCATCAAAAATCAGGGACTGACGAGAGGAGAAAAAAACAAAACGTGAAGACGCTCAACATTTATTCACTTTCTATCGTCTCTGCGACGTTTGAATTTGTTTTGCAGCTGACTGAACCACAATGAAATGGATTTAAAAGTCGTGTACCTTGCAGTCTTTGGCATAGTACAGGGTCCGGCCTCTGAGTTTGAAGTACCTCCTCTTCCATCTCTGGAAGGAGCTGGTCTGCTTCAGCAGGATTCCCTCCTTCACGCTTTTCTGTTGTGAGTCAGAGAGGGAGGGAGACACGAGGAAGAGAAAGCAGACGTTAGCGGCTTCAGATCCGTTAGAATCCTTTCGTTTTTACTCTTGTTTCATTTGTAACGTTCTCATTCTAATGTTGTGCGACCTTCAAACTGCTTTTAATTGGTTTGTTAATTGGTTTGTCCACCAGTTTGAATTTTGAATGTAACTGTGTGTTTTGAAAGGAGCTTAATCTATAAAGTAAATCTATTTAAGCGTCTTCGTGCGAGTGCCGATCACAGATGGTGAAAATGTAGAAGGGAGTAACTCTGGAAATCTTTTCTGTGAAGAGAGGACGTTCGGCTGAGTGTCAGGACGCAGTGTGTCTGGACAGCAGAGGCAATGAGGTAATGTCTTGTGCTGCAATGTTACGGAGCGATAGTGATGAAGTGACGCAGCAGGTAGGAGGAGCAGTCACCCGCAGCTGCATGAGAATTATTCACATGCTCAGAATGCATGATTCAACTTGACGACACAGATTTGTTTGGCTGAAACTCAACGATTCTACCGAGGCCGCTGCTGTTTTCCATTAAACCTCATCTGTGCCTCAGCTCATCTAACACTCGCTCCTTCTCTGTTTATGAGCGCAAGCCTTAAGAGGAAAGGATGCACTGTGGGTAATCAATTTGAGGTGGGATGTCAGGGGTCGCCATGGAGATTCTCATTTAAAGAGGATACCCAGGCCCGGTGATATTCACAGGCAGAGGGACGATCTTAAAACTCAGATCACGTTGGCGACGGCCTCGTCCTCCTGAGAAGCGACATTCCTGCGGCAGCTTTCATTAGATCAGCTCGTGTGACACGCCCGTGAATTCCCCGTGGAGATAACCGCGTCGCCTGCATATTTTCACGCCAGAAGCCGGTGTTTGCTGCACACAGCGCGATAAGGCTGCAATCAACTGGGAGCATTTGTGTAGCAACATCAGATATCCTTTAAAAAAAAAAAACGGAAAGAGGAAGCTACAGACGTCTAACAAAAGCAAAGCGTGTGCTCAACACTTCACACAGAATTCAAGAAGAGACATCATGTTTCTCTAACACCTGGAAATGTGTCCTCCACAGAATGAGTCATCCTGCAAGAGCATCTAAGACAAATGCCTGTGGTCGTCTAATCACCCGACTCAATGTTCTTTTACGTCACGTGTAATGAATCAGCTCCAACAACCTGCAGCGCCACTGAAGGTAAACGCTGTCTCAAGCAATGCAAACATGTGTCAGAGACGTTGAACTGGTGAGAACAGACGACTGTTTGCACCGAACGTTTACTTAACTCTGCAGATTCAGGCTCCCGCAGTTCAGGGACTGCGTCTCGGTGGTTCTGTGGTTTGAAAAAGGCCAAAGTGAAAGGCACAACACGATGTCATTCTTCAGGAGCGCAAAGGTCAGAGTTGTTTTGATGTGTAACAACCATTTTCCGACCTCAGATCGCCGTGACAAACAAGTGCTAATGGAAATTGTGAGTGGGGGGGGGGGGGGGGGATATTGGGTTTTGTTATCTCCGAACCCGCACTGTAATAAAAACAAAGGACAAAACGTGTTCCTGTGTTTTTCCATTTCACACGTATGTTGTTG